ATCATATCTGTTCTATCACCAAAATATCCCAAATCTTACCACTTCTGAACACCTCCACCACTCATCCAAGTTATTTAACATTTGTAGTTTCTACTATATACAAATGGCCCTCTAGGGTCACAATATTCAGCTAGTAATATGGAGCACTCACTCCTCAAAGAAATTGCTGTTCTTAATTCATGTTCACAAAGTAACACTTACAAAGTAATATATCCCAGACTCTACTATTTACTGTCTGCATAACCTTATGCAAGTCCCTTAATCACTGGGTTGTTGTGAAAATTAAATGAGTTAATTCATATAAAATACTTAAAATGGCACCTGGCACTCAGTAAATACTCAATATCTATTAGTTTGGGGATGAGTGTGGGAAAGTGAAACATGCATATGGTAAGAAAGTCAACAGGTGGTCCTAAAGGTAAAGATAAAATAAGACAGTCTAATGAAGTAATGGTTTTCATCAGAAAACAGTTGTTTTCTGGGGGGAAACTATGTGATTGCTGTGTTCTTGAACTTGGAACGTAGTAACACTGTACTTGGAAACTGTGAACATGGTACTTCTTCTGAAACCAATGTAACAGCCTAATAAAATATATATCCAAAATATATCCTGTTCTATGGACGTTGCTCACACTATTCACAGCCTCACCCAGTCTCACAGAGAGCCAATGACAAAATGGCCTCAACTGTAAATCCTTTCCTTATCATTTTCCAAAATAAATGATTACTCCTGACTGACATATCCATTCAATTCTGTACTTCTTCCTCTACTTTGTAGTATAACATGTACACATCCTACTATATGATATGTAGGGACTGTATCTTTTTTTTTTTTTTTTTTTATCCTCACCCGAGGACATTTTTCCATTTTTTGTTCAGATAGAGCGGGAGGGAGAGAGAGGAAGAGAGACAGAGAGAAACATCGACATGATAGGGACACATCGAGTGGCTGCCACCCGCACGACCAACCAGGGCCGGGGACAAACTGCAACCGAGGTACGTGCTCTTAGCGGGAACCAAACCCGGGTCTCTCTGTACCGCAGGCCGACGCTCCAACCGCTGAGCCAAACCAGCCAGCGCAGGGACTGTATCTTACTCATCATTTAACAAACATTTACTGAGTGCCTGCCATGTAGAGTACTGAGGAAACAAAAGCAATGAAGACATGAAATAAATAAATGCAGCACCACCACAGCAATATGCATACTACATGGATATGGCATAAAAGAGAATGATCTCTTTTGCCACACATCTGCAGTACTTAGCATGATATAATATAGATGGTAGGCTCTCAGTGACTTAATTCCTACCTCCTTTTTGAAAGTGTCCTGTACCACTGAAGCTTACTCTGCTTTTCTCTTCAAACTGTAAGTCTCTCCATATCATACCTTTTAACCTATGCATCAGCACCGTAGGCTATTGTTTAATATTTTGTATATAAATGTCTTGACTTCAGCTGTAACATGCTTCTCAAGAGCAAGAACTCCCAGAGCATTCAGTTTTAATTCATGTTATCTGTTAAATGATCCTCCAATTTCCTGAAGCTACCAAAATGTGTCATTTGCCTAACTACATTGACAATAACATCATCTGTTCTGGTTCTCTATAAATAAGAAGCCTTCACATAGGTGTTCTTAAAACAGGAGGCCAAAGGGATGTTGTTGAAAGCATGCTACTATGCTACTGCTCTCAAGCTAGGAGTTCAGATTCCAGAAAGACAAGTTTATTTTTTTTACCAGCAAGAGGCCTGGGTCCTATGAGAATTCAGATACAAAGTGTATAATGGATTAATCCAGATAGCTAATTAATCTATGTGCCTTTAAGATAACACGCATATAGAAAGCACTCAGTAAACAGTAGTTTCCCTTTTCTCCAATCCTCCAAGCCTCTAAATCCTGTTGGTAAGTAAGGAAAAGTCACTCCAGCTATACTGCCACTTAATTTCAATGCACTGAATATCCAGGAGGAATTAATTCCTGGTTTCCTGTTTGTTCCAATCTAGTAGACAGCTTCAGGGAGACCAGGCATGTTGAAGCCTGTAAGGTATACCTGAAATCTTATCAAAGAAGTAGAGAACATCATGTAACTTGAATACAAGATTCTGTTACTGGCTTCCATAGTTATCATCTGGTACCCAGTATTCACATGAACTCCTGGATGAAAAGTTACATATGTAATTATACTATCATACTGTGATCATATAAGAATCTGTGATCCAACATTTTCTGGGTACCCTTATGTTCTATGCAATCACTTCCATCCAAATCTGACAAAATGTAAGATTAACCAGTTTTGTATCCATATCAAGAAGAACTCCTTCCCTTGTTTAATCTTAGTGATTCTCAGTTTTAGAGACAGCACTCTTCCTTCTCCACCGATAATCTCTAATCATTAAGAACACAAAAACAGAGAGATCTCCATTTTAACGGCACAAATACCTACTGAACTTTGACAATCTGAATACAGAGTTAATCGTGATACTCAATACACTTGGGAGGCAAAAGAACTTTTAGTTATATCAAGACCAATGCAAATTACAATTAATTGCCTTAAGATTAGCATCACTAATATCACTAATACACTCCCCCACTACTTACTCCTTCTATCTCCCCATCCTTTAATAAGGTCAGCCCCTCACATTTTATCATTCTGACTTACTTATACTATTAAAACCATAGCCCTCAAGATCCACTGAGTGGCTTCTGTTCTCCTCTCTACCAGGGTACATGTTCAGCCTACTTAACACCTAAGTGATTTATTTGGCCCTCCTAACAAACAGAAATCTGAATCCAGGCTCTGTCTTCTTTCACTACTTGTAGCTTCTAAAGCTATATGGTAGAAAGGAACAATTGTACCCTGACTTGAAATACTTTAGTACCAACTGATCTAAGTTCCAACTTTTCTGTAACCTAATACCCACATAGTCAGTTAAAAGAATGAGCCAATGCATTAAAAATGCTGCTTCACCGATACTACAGGTATATAGCCATTTGATATATTAACTTTCAATGGGAAATACTTATCATATATCACTTCTTTTTAAAGTAATAAATGTCCTAAAATACATTTTCTAATGAAAATAGCTTTGCTCATTTATTAATCTCTGTATATCCTTAACAATCAGCACAATTATTTACACAAATTAAGAAGTCTCTAAATGTCTGTCATACCAATAAAATAACTATATTTAAAACCTAACCCATTCCACATCTTAGCCCAATTACAATTTCACATTTGCAGGTTAAATAAATTAGATCAGATTTTTAAAGTCCATATAACTGATTATAAAATAATTGCCATTCTTCGTAAAATAACCTTAGCTTCTCAAATAGTTTTTCTCTAATCCATATTTACTTACTGCTATGAAAAATTGTGGACTTTACAAGAAAACAAAGTACGTTCTTCACAGTTACTCTATAGAAATAAAGGGTACCTTTCAAATAACTAAATATTTCCATGGTAAGGGTTATCAGAAAGGTGAAATACTAAAATATAGGCTAAATGAAAGAAATTACAAGCTAATAATAATTCCCCAACAACTATGATGAACATTGCGGGTAAATAAGCAACACCTTTCTAATATAATAAGAAAGCATTTTAAATATGCTCTCCACTGCCCTGGCCAATTTGGCTCAGCAGTTAAGAGTGCTGGCTGGCGGACCAAAAGGTTGTGGGTTCGATTCCTGGTCAGGGGAACGTTACCTGGGTTGCATGTTTGAGCCCTGGCTCCAGTAAGGGTCATGGAGGCAGCCAGTCAATGTGTCTCTTACATCAATGTTTCTCTCTCTTTCTCTCCCTTCCACTCTATCTAAAAAAATCAATGGAAAAAGATCCTCCAGTGAGGATTAACAACAACAACAAAATAAATATGTTCTCCACTTAGAGGAAAACTACTAATATTTATAAGTAATTTATAATTTTATTTACTAATTATATAACAAAATTGGGTTTCATAGCAAAAGAGGAGAGAAAAATGTAGATGTAAACTGTATTTCTAACAAAAACACTTTGTTCCCCATAATAAACTTAAAAAGAAGTTTGAGGGTAAAGTGGTATAATAACTATTCTGATACCTAACAAAACTTTGCCTTTTATTTTACTGGAATTTCGAATTAAATAACTGATTTTTACTTGAAGCTAGTTAAGATACTCGGACATCTGATTGTCTTCTCTATTATTATTCTGTAATCTATGCTAGAAACTTATATTCCTTTTAACAGTCCCCCTTCCATTAATGGAGATTAAGAGATCAGCAATCTCTGAAACTAACAGAGATGATAAAATATTACTAATATATAACAGTTTGAAAGTTAATTTTTAAAATAGGAAGATTTTATAATTCAGAATTATAATAATTTTATAATTTATAACTACAATCATAATTATAATCTTTTATGTGATAATAGCTAATATTTATTGAGCGCTTACTATGCGCCAGGCACTGTGCTAAGCACTCTCAAAGTATTAAAATACTTGAAAAGAAATAAAATCCTGTATATGGAAAAAGCATTAAACGGTGAGTCAAAAACACAGATTCTATACCTAGACTGCTAAAGCAAAAGAAGAAATATTTGCTAAACAAAGAGAATACCTGACAAACTGCTAAGTAAATGGGCTCACGTTATTAAAAAGGCCAAAAACCACAACCTAGTCAATTGACCAAACAAACAGAAAACCTTTAACTTCCTCTAACTGAAAAAAAGAGAAGATGTCTATTTTTAACTTGTTTAGCAAATTCTTCTTCAAAATTACTGCAAAGGAACATACAAATACAAAAGATGTGGAAATAAATCTTAATCCATCCTGTATCCAAATAATAACAAATTTTGAATTAGAAAGCCCTGAAGTTTTGCTATATAAATGAAATAAAAAAAGTAAAAATTAAGTATCTTTCCTTTAAACCCTAGAACAAACCCACAAGGGCAGCATTGGTTGTTCTTTATTTGGTAGTTGTTTTATTCTTTAAATAAAGTATTCCAGAATAAATACAAAATTCTTACTTTGTTGCCCGTATAAACTTGCCCCAAACTGAGACAGCTGACCTGATGTAGATGGTGATGCCAGCATCTAGAAACAAATTAATTATATTAGAGCATAAGGAAAGTACACAGAACATTGCATTTACACATTACAAATTTGTACAATAGATCACAATATGTGAGAGTTAAACCCACATTTTTTTCAGAAAAACATTACATAATAAATTCACAATTAAACTGTGCAAATAAAATAAATTTTTTATTACTACAGAAGTGTTTTTTTCCCAAGTTAGCCTAAGTGAAACTATAGCAGAATCATTATTTCACTTTATAAGAAAACAAACTAGGCTAACAAAAATATGACAGTATCTCAAAATGTCAGCCTCTAAATTCATAAGTGAAATTCCTTAATTCTTCGATAATATATTAAGCTAAATTCTAAATTCGGTTTACTAAAGTTGAAAATAAAATGATCTAAATAGAAAATTTTTGTATTTTGTAAAAATAGTTCATGGCTCGTATATAGAAGTAAATTATGTGTATTAAATTGGTTAACAAAAAAGCTAACAAATATACACACAACAATGTAAGAGGAGATAACACAATACCAAGGGACAAGTCAAAATACTTTAAAAAATATATAGACATGGTATATAAATGAATATTGTCGGTGAGTGAGGTGAATTTCATGGCACTTATCTATAATGCCTTTCAATTTATTGCATCATCTCCCCCCGCCCCCAGCAGAATATACATTCTTTCAAGGAATATTATATTTATGGAACATATTATATTCAATTTTTATTTCCTCTCTGACTACCACTATATGTGGCAGTGCTATACATAAAGTAGATACTTAAACAATAAATAAAAATGTGCACAGGTAAGTGCATGTCTGTGTATTCCCTCTTATACTAAGCAACCATTAAAATACCTTAATTAAAAAAGACATGGACTATATCATCAAATGGATTAAAATCTAGTGAAAGAAGAAAATTACACAATAATTATATTCTAAGGCACAATGTGGCAAATGCTCTAAAGGAAGTATAAAGTAACACCAGAGGAAAATAATTCTAAACAAGGGTGAAGTAACAGAAATACTCTGAAGGGTGAGGTAACACCTCAAGTGAATAGAAATGAGTGGTCTTCAGGCTGAGCATACACAGTGAGGATGTAATAAAAGTTAGTGACATGATTAGAATACAAACAAAATTAAGAAACATTCATGACTGGATAAGAGGGTAATTAAGGAAAGGAGATAGGGTCACCCCAATGCACACTGAGGCATAGAAAGATGGGAAATAAAAGAGTATGTTGGGGCCAAATGTAAAGGGTCTTCTTTAATGGCATACAAAAATGGCTACCAACTATGGCAATAAAGAGAAAAAAATAATATTAAGCAAGGAGGTAAAATAAATTCCAACAGCAAAAATGGATAGAAATGGAAAATACTAAACAAGAACAGGAGAAATGGGACTACAAAGAAGAGGCATTTTGGTTGTAGAAGCAACAGTATTTGATGCTCTATTGAAATGGCTGAGATACAGAAAAAGGGGGTTGGTGAAGAATCACCAGACAGGGAATTATCAGAGATCACTCTCTCTGGTTTCCAGTGAAGAATTGGGCTGACACTGACCACATTAGGAAAACCAGGAGGAGAAATAGTTACACAATAGAGGCTTTAACAGTATACATTTCAGGCAATTTTTATAGCAAAATTCTAAGATTTTCTGATTATTCTAAAATTCAGTAGTTTTTATACAATTGTAGCTGGCAAAATAATGATATACATCTGACTCTTAGGTAGAGCTGAGTCACACACTACTCTAAAACAGCAGTATTTAAATATAGTAATAAATTTTCTTTAATATTTCTTATAAATATTCCTTCTCAAATCCAGGGGGTATGCAATCTAAACAAACTGAAAAAAAATAAGCATTTTATGCCTGATCAAGCCCTTTTGTTAGTGCAATTGTCATGACTGTTACCACATAACTGGAAATACTTGAAACACATTAGAGGTTACTTTCTAAGTTGCAAGAATAAGATCAAAGAAAATGTATATTATGATGGGGGGAGGGAGAAACATTTGTAACAAAAATAAATACATTAAAATAAATAAATAAAAGAGAGAAAATGTATGTTATAAAACTTTGGTGGGTGACAGAAGGTAAAAGGTTTACATGAAATGCTTAATAGTCATGATTTTCTGATACCATTATAAGCTATAAATGGAAGTAAAAGAGTAGAGTTGCTTCCAAAGGCTTCAAATATACACTCATACATGACTTAAAATTATTTGTCAATGTAAACATTTTAGAATGGACCACTTAAAATTTTACTTTTCCCATAAATGTATGTTTAGTGAATACATAACTCCTAAGAACAGATACTTTAGTCTACATTCTCACAAAGATTATACATCCACAAGCAAGTTACAGGTGTGTCAAGATATCAGCCCTCTCAGCATTGGGAGAATAAGTAGGGGAGCAGCGCATGAAGGCAGAAATGGCACAACTTCCTGGGCCAAGAACCTGAGACCAAGAGCACTAGAACAATCCATTTAGCAGAGTGACATATTAAATATATCATGTTCTCTGAATGTGTGAGTACATGAAGCAGGTTAGAAAACTGTGCTTTACAGGAATATGAAAATAGTTTGTTAAATTTTCACAACACCCATGTAAAGGAAGCATTGATTAGCTATACAAATAGATGTTAAAATGACTGCCTCAAAATGTGTTAAAAATGCAAATATACAGTTTCTTGTAAAATCAATCCCTAATGCTATATATTTTTAAATACTGAAAGAATGCTTCATGAAATATATCAGTCCTAAAATAGATTTAAATCAATGAAGGAATGTGAATGGGATAGAAATGTTATTTATGAGGGCAAAGAAAATATATATGAGATGTATTCTGGCACAACAATAACTACAATTAACAAAAAAACCAAACATTTTAAATTGCTGAAAGTTAATAATATAAAGATAAATTTCTTAGAAAGATATAAAACTTTAGATCAAGAGACAGTAAGGAATTACAGTAAGGAATGCAGCATAAGTAGAAAGAGCCCAGCTCAAGTCAGAAAAAAATCTGGGTTTGAATCCTGGTTCTGCCACTTACCTATGGGAGAGTGTTTCCTTCCTGTGGGATGGAAATAACACTACCTACCTCATAAAGATAAAGTGAAGATTAAAGGAAATAAGATATGGCACATAATAAGTGCTCAATAAATAATAGTAGGAACTGCTAATAATCTAGTCTTCCTCCCAAGGCAGGAATGTCATCAGAGGGGCACTCAGCCTTTGGGGAAATTTTTTAATAGTACCCTAAATTTATATTAATTTTTGCCTGAGAAGTTACTAAAAGAAATTTATCATAAAAAATTCCAGTTAAAATAAGAAGAATCTATGTTCTTAGAGGGGAAAATGGCAGAAGATAAAATGTCACAGAATCAGAATGCTGAAACCAACAAGTAGGTTACCATGTCCCCAGTCTAAAACCATCTAACAATTATAGTCTTTTTCATTTCTCAGTCTATAATATACACTGCAGTCAAAGACCAAAAAAACCAGGAAGCAACTAGAACTAGTCACGTGGTTCAAGTTATCTCCTTGATCCCACAAAAAGCCCCCCTTTCCTTTGTTTAACATATAGACTGTCAAAAAAACAACAACAGATTAGAAACTATTTAAAATTTTTTTCCTGTAATTAGATAAAACTCTGAAATTCACAACTAAAAAGAAGTCTAAAAGTTCTTCTTTTAAAAAACATGTATTTGAAAACTTAACAAGCAAATCTAACTCCTGCCAGCAATCCATAACAGCGAAGAAGTATTAATTATTCTATACCACTTGTGCTTCTCAATAGTGACCACCTCTCACAAGTATTCTCTCCAATAAATTGAAATAATTTCAATTACAAACCCTATTTCAAGAAATATTAAAATAAGTATGTCAAGAAATTACGGTCTGTACATAAGAAATGACTTCAAAATATAACAATTGTGTTAAAATACAAGTTTCCTGAACACAGAAGCAAGAAAAAAATAAAGTTTTAAAATTCATTGTGCAATATACTTAAGCGTGGTGATAATATAATACTTAGACTGTTACTGTTACCAATTCAAGGAATGTTCACATTTTTGAAGGCTGTTAATATGCACTGATAAACTATTTTCTACCAAGACTGTGTTAATTGTACTTCCACAGTATTCACTTTAAATCTCCTTCATACATATTGGCTATTCTTCCACTAAATGAAAAATAAACAAACTCCTTGCTAGTATAAGAATAAAATGGAATTTTCTGAATATAAGTTATCAGTAGTAGTAGTATTTATTTTATTGAGACATAACACTTTGTAATCATTTTTGTAGAAATATCAAAATTTGATTAATCTTATATGTATATCATTTTAACTCCTTCTGATAAATAGTTTGAAAGTCAATGAATGTAAGAGGTTTCAGAACATTCTCTTCAAATGATTTGACATTTAATTCCAATTTCTTTAGAGTATAGTCTGATGTATTTACATTTAACTCTATCACGTTAGACTTTCATATAAAAATTACACACTTATGTACATTCGTATTTTCTATTAAAAGTTTTAAAGGTGATTTTTTAGTTTTTTAGTTATCATATCTCCTACAAATTGTTATTTTTCGATGAGAACTTTCTTTCCCTTTCTTTAACAAAGACTCACTGAGAATCTACTATGTCCTATGGATTATTGCAGTCTTTGCCCTTGTTAAACTTAAATTCTAGTGGGGTACACAAGATAATAAACAATAAATAAATACTTTAAGGTAGAGATAGTTGCTAAGATTGTTAAAGTGCAAGAAGGAATTTAGAAGGATTGCCTGGCCAGTATAGCTCAGTGGTTGAGCATCAACCCATGCACCAAGAGGTCACCAAGTTCGATTCCCAGTCAGGGCACATGCCCAGGTTGTGGGCCTGATCCCCAGTGGGGGGCATTCAGGAAGTGGTTAATCGATGTCCTCTCTCACGATGTTTCTCTCTCTCTCTCTCCCTCTCTCTCTCTCTCCCTCCCCCTTCCTCTCTGTCTAAAATCAATAAAG